TGGATGGATGGTTGGATGTGAATGAGCTTAGGGAGAGGTACGTTGAATTGGGTCCAAAACCAAAAGCATAGGCAGGTGTCCCCTTGAGGAGTTATTGATGGAGAAAAAAAGTGTCAGTGGGTTTTCTTCTTTTCTTTGGTGAAATGAAAATATCGTATACTTACCTAATTCTGTACCATACTCTGCACGTCAATGGGTAGATTGATTCATATTCACATTCAAAATCTTAGGATACCGGGCAGGGACGGTCCTGACCTGTTTATAGACTAGGAGTGAAATCGAGTCGAGTCGAGCTCAAGTAGGCTCGAGTAGTAGCCTACTCGAGCTCGAACTCGACAACATCCACCAGGAATCGAGCTCGAGTAATGAAGATCGAGATTGACTCGAGACAAGCACGAGTAAGATCGTACTCGACTCGATCGAGCTTGAATGCATATCGAGCTCGAGCTCGAGTCGAGTACTCGAACTTGACATGCATCCGATCGAAGCAACAACAGCAACAACAACAACATCAGCCCTACTTCCTCTCTTTCTCTCTTTTTCTTCTTCTTTCTTTTCTTTCTTCTTCCTTTTCTTTCTTTTTCTCCTTCTTCTTCCTTCTTTTCTCCTTGTTCACCGCCGCCACTTTGCACCTCGCCAGATCGCCGCACGCCACACTGCCGCCCATCGCGCCTGTTGCCCAGCCGCGCCTCGCCACCAGCAGCTCCTTCTCACGCAACCCCTGCGCGACTCAACCGTAGTCGCCCCCTTGCGAGCAGCCTGCCCCTTGCGCTCCAGTTCACCTCCAGGCAGATCGAGCAGCAACTCAGCCGCAGCAGTCCAGCAGCAGCTGCGCACGGTGCGCAGTCATCCGCCAGCGCGCGACGCCCTCTCCTCCACGGCGTGCGCTAGCAGCGCGCAAGACTCAAGAGCTTCCTCTAAGTCAAGACTCAAGAGCTCAGAAACCATTACAAGTATTGCAGCAGCAGCAGCCCCCCAATTTTTTTGAGTTGTGACAATTGAGATTTGAGAAGATGAGCCAAAGACTGAGATTGGGATTTGAGAGGTAAGCTGAACTCTGAAGACTGAAGAGGAACGAAGAAGGCGAATGAAGGACAGAGTTTGCAATGCATTTCATCGTTTTTAGTTTACGAGCCAAAATTACTTATTCACCCTTCATTATTATTACAACATAACTGGTTAAGCCCGTAAATATTCTAACTAACAAACCTAAAAGAGTAAATTGATATATAAAATATACAAATAGGCCACCAAGCTCGAGCTACTCGACGAGTTAAAATTTCTTGCCATTAATTACTCGAACTCGACTCGTTTTACTGTAGCAAGTAGCTCGAAATCGCCTCGAGCTCGAATTTGCTCGAGCTCGATTCGAGTAGCTAACCAAGCTACTCGCGAGCTCGATTCAAGCTACTCGAATTCTCTGCACCCCTATTATAGACGAGATCACTTCTTGTACTTCGTTTTTAATAATGTGTGTGAAATTTATAAAAATTTATTTTAAAATTACACGTTGTGCAAATAAAATTACGTCGTGTGAAAACAAAGTTACGCGGTACAAAATATACATAATTGCTAGGAACGCTTGCATTGAAAAGTAAAATCCAAACCTCCATGCACATACTAAAGTAAAAAATATACGAAACTATATAGAGTTCAAAAATAATATAAATATTATTTAATTTTTATTTTTAAATAATAAAATTATTATTCAAGAAGTTGAATGTAATATGATGAACTTAAAAAAAAGAACTATTATCGACTACCTCTATTTATTTTCAAAGTTTTAATTGTATTCACGTCTAATATTTCATTTCTTCGCCTTTACTTTTTCTAAAAAGTTTCTATCAATTAATTAGAATTAAGTTTTTAAAAAATCATAAAGTCGCACTGTATTCGAACCAACGGCTATAAAATATAAGATTAATTTTATAAATTTATTAATATATATATAAATACATATATATTATTTAATTGTATATACATGGGTTTGGATAGAGTATGGTATGAGTTTGAATTTGGGTATGAATCATAAGAAACTAAACCCTACCCCAAATCCATGACTCTTTTACCAAATTTGGGTCTGGGTAGAGTTTGGGTCTAAGAAATTAAATTCAAATCCTTTCCAAATATATTGGACGTGAATTAGATTTGAGTAAGATTCGAATCATGCCTATTTTATGCTATCAAAGATTTGGGATAATATGAAAAACCTCCCCTGAGGTTTCTCCCAATATCACTTAGCATTCCTAAAGTTTAAAAAATGTCGCTTATCTCCATTAAAATTTTAAAAAACCCTAAGCTATCCCTTTGCTCATTTTACTGAATAAAAATACTCCTAAATTTGTTTGGATTGTGTTTTATTTCTCCAATTTTATCTGCTTACATCATCATTACAATTTTCAATACACCTTTTTATCTTCTCAATTACCTTTTTATCTCACACACATCACATCACAAAAAGTGCTACAGTAAAAATATTCCAAATAAAACACAATCCAAACAAACCTGTACTCCAAAAAAAATCACAACTTAAAAACCAATCGCTAATAGCACTACCACATCACAAAGCTATAGTCCATAAAAATATAAATTTGAAAAACAAAAAAGATATTTGCAAAGAAATACACTAGCACCAATTCAAGTTTACATACATGCTCAAAATCAGTTTCTTATGAACCTTTGTTTTTAATTTCCAACACTTCTCAACATGTGGTATGAACCTTTAAGTTGTACTAAATTATTTTAAAAATTTATGTGAATTATTATGTCCCTAATAAGGCCTAATATAGTCTTTTTGTAGTTACTTGAAAAAGTAAGTGATATTTTTAAAATGTTAAAGGTGCCAAGTGACATTAGAAGAACCTCAGAAAGAGGTTTCTAATATTATTATCCATTAAGCATATGTTTAGCAAACTTTGTAGCGGACAACAAAAGAATATGATTTTTAACCAATGCGTGGCATATGGTTCTTCAAAGTTGGATGAATGGGGACAGTTAAAATCTAAGAAGTAGATCGTCTTTTATTTTCACCTTCAACGCTGCACGAATGATCCTTTTATTTTAAGGGCCAAATGTTTGCAGGTCGTTAAATTTCTTGATGGAAAAGGGTGGAGTCCAAGGAGGAAAACCAACCGAACCGAACAACTTCTTTTCCAAAAACAAAAGAATTTGCATAGCGACCGAGGCAGATTTCTACTCGTGCTGAATCAGTGGAAATTAACTGATGTCTGTGAATATAGGATGGATCAGCCAGGGAAGGTACAGATCTAGGTAGGTAGTAAAAACTGCGTACTACGTTTGCCAGAATTGCTCACATATACAGGTAAATAAATCAGGATGGTAAAGAAGCCTGCTTAATAAGTACGTACTTTGTATGAACATGAAGAAGAAAGACTAGTGCTGCTATTATTTAAACGAAGCACTGAATCAAAGAATTTAAAGGGATGCAGGAAATGAAATGGGAATGGAGGTTTCAAGTTTCAACCCCGCCTTTCAGGTTCAGCTTCAGAAAGCTTGGACTTAGGTTTGGCAAGAACTCCCTTAAACTTCCGCCCAACCGATTTAGGTATTAGCATGATCTTCACAGCAGGTGCTGAGCGGCTGCGAATGTAAACTGGATCAGCATCCGCTGCACCTGACGAGGACGCCACTATTGATGGACATCCTATGCTGTAACTATGCCTTAGCCCGCTAAGATCCCTCTTCCCTTGTTCATCCATTTCTGCTATGAGTTTTCTGTCGTCCCAAACCGTACCTGAAGACCCTTCTCTCCTGAATGATATTGTAGACCTTTGCAGAGCAGCCATCATCCCAATAATACTGCTGCTCTTCTTTGGAAAGCTCTTTTTTTTTCTTTGTTTTTGGAGGGGAGGGGATTCTCTGCCAAGTTACTTGTCTGCTTTTGTCTCAGTACACTGATATATATATACATCTATATACACAAGTGATGGATGGCAAGGAAAGTCTTTTGTTATCGTTTGAAAGGAAAAAAAAAAAAAAGAAGAATGGCAAGGAAAGTCAGTACGAAAAAACAATTGAAGCGGTCATGCATGGGAATCTGATCAATTCTTGTTTACTCGTACAGTATTTTCCACATCTTCAAGGTCCTACCTGCGACCAGACTACGGAGTACGCCCACCAAAAAATAAAACTACTGTTTTAATTATTTTTTTTTTCTCTGGGAACTTTTCAGCAAACATTAAATTTATTTTTTTTCCTTTTGGTCTTTATGATCCTATCCTCTGCCAATTGCAACCATATACTGCGGCAATATTTCAGAGCTGATTGATTGAGCAAAAGCAAAATTTTCCAAGCTCTTCTGTCTGTTCCTAGTTAAAATCCAGGATCAGAGTCTCCGGCCTTGTGTGTTACTTCATGCAAATCGTCGCCCATTTTTCTTACTAGTTTCTTTCTTACGAAGTTTCTGCTTTTGGACTAGCATGCCAGCAGCTTGGCACCACAAATTGGTAGATATGTGGAACTTTTGACATCGGTCTTATGTCAAAAAAAAAAAAGTACTGACCAGGGACTAGTTTACTTCGACCTCAGAAATTCTGCTTTCCGTGGAATAGATATTTTGTTTTGGGATAATTTCACAAATCTCCCTTGAAGCTTATCTTAATATCGCTTAGCATCCTCATGATTTCAAAAATTTCTCTTAGCTCTCCTTGATTGACATGTTTTACAACGAGTGTGTTTGGACAGCCAATTATTTGGCCAAATATATTTGTTGACATCACCATTACAATTTCCAATACACCTTTTTATCTTCCCAATTACCTTTTTATCTCACATACATCACATCACAAAAAGTGCTATAGTAAAAATATTTCAAATAACTTACAATCCAAACACACTCAACATTGTCACCTCTTGTGCGTTAAAAATTTAATACGAGAGGAAAGATAACAATTTACTTCCTTTTGTATCCTTTTGTCGTCCATATGTAAATATTAGAGCAACAATTAAGAACTAAATAAACCTCGTAGGTGAAAGACAAATTAGGAGAGATTAAGTATAAGTATAATAAAGAGGAGTTTGGAGCAATTAAGTGGTTTTACAACTAAGTGGTTTTTTGTGTGGGAATTTTAGTTAATCAATTAGGAGTATCCAGTAAGGTAATATTGTCAATTTACCACTCATAATAATGGAGACATCCTGTCTTGTCAATCTAGCCGGGGAGGTAAGAGATATTTTTGAAACTACGAAAGTGTCAAGCGATATTAAGGCAAACCTCGGAGGAGGTTTGTGAAATTATCCCATCTTGTATTTCGGTTGAAGTAGACCAAGACCGAACTTATTCTTTTGAATATTTCTTTTTGGTTGATTCCTTGAGCACAACTCATACGGTCAACCCCCATAACTGTTGAATACATGTCCTTATTTGGACTGCAGCAGGCCAAGCCGGAACCTATTCCTTTGAACTTTTCTTCCTGATTTCCTGCAAACAAAAAAAAGAAAAGAAAGGAAAAGAAAAAGCTTTTCTTCTTGGTTGATGTCATTTCCCCTCGATCATAATTCACAAGTCATATGCTGCACGAACGCAATAGTATAAAATTACCAGTAGTCAGCAAGAAGACATCCCAAATGACTGCTCCTTCACCTGTTCATATGGTCCTCAGTGTGGTTAAAACAAGGCCATAAATTCTTTAAGAACACCAGCTTCTGCCAAGTTTGACTAGCCCTATAAAATTATCAGTACTCAGCAAGAAGACATCCCAAATGACTGCAACTTCACCTATTTATATTCTCCTCCTTGTGGTTTAAAAGTCTTATAAAAAAAAAAAAAAACCAGCTTCTCCCAAGTTTGACCAGCTCTATAACAGCAACATGCTACATGCCACGTAACAGCCAAGAAAAATTACAATGAGGAGCATACAGTTTTTCCTCACATAAAGAGTAAGCTACCATGTGAATTATGCAGCGTGTGGAGCTTTCCAATAGGTGTATTTACATGGAAAACTGAAAAGAGCAGCCATTATGTAAAAGTAGAAGCAGAACGTTCATACGGAAGGCGGTGTTCAGGAATCCCATCTTCAGCTCGTTTGTCCTCGAACCATTTCACCACCCTTTTCTTAGGCAGGTTTGTCAGATGCACAATGTTGCTGATCATGGCATTCTGAACATGTTTTAGAACAGTTAGATTCCAGAGTATGATAAGATAGCATCATAAGAAAGTGTTTTCTGAAGAATTTTCATGTAAATTGCATAAATATTGGAGGAATTGTATCTGAAGCCATATAACTTTGATGGGATTATTATTACTAGTTAGCGGGGGATGTGGAAAATAGATCCACAATAATATAATATGACTGCAGTAACAAATCAAATTTTTAATCACAGCACACCACATATATTATTTGAAATGTCAAATTATTATTCCGAATTACCTAATTACAAGATATTAACCGCACTTGCCAGATAATGCGGGCATGCAGGAAAATTCAACAGAATCCAGATTTCACAAAGAAACAAAAAATTGTCTCATGGTGGATTGAAAGACCCTCTACAGGTTTTACTCCTAGGATGTCTAAAAAGTATTAGGTGACTTGTTGAACCTACAGCTCAAGTTTCTCTTCTTGAGCTTGCTATCAGCTGCTTACGGGCTTTGTTTCAAGTTTTAAGTAGAAACAATATTCGTTTATTGTTCTCGCATCTATTTTCTTTCCTAAACTTCAGCAACCAAATAGTTGCATTGACGTTTTAGAATCCTAATGTGGCATATCAGGCCTAATGCAAGTCAAATTCTATTAATTATAAACCATCAAACCTGAACTTCTGGATGTACTTGTTTATTCTCAACATACCCAAATTACCCCAGTTTGTGTCTAATATTTTCTAGAAACCAGAAGCAATGAACCTTTACACACTATCTTAACATTTCAGCATCATATCAGCACATAGAAATTGCATATTTGACCACTGCTATAAACCCCATCGACGATCGAGTTTTTCCTTTTTCTTAGCCAGAATTGCATCAACTACACAAATAAGCCAATTCCAATAATTTTAGATCCCTAAAGTTTAGGATTTTCTTTGGACCTTGTAAAGGCATTAACTTGACAATTCTAAAGCCAGCATGTTTTATTCCATATATTTGCTAGTTTACCTAACCAACATTTCCTTCTTCAGATTAGTTCTGCCAATAAATATTCCCACATTTTCACAAAAGGAAGTCTGATTCTAATGCAAAAGCATGTAATGGACTAAATTTGTTTGATGTCAGATAAGCACTCATTCTAGCACACTCACCGAGGGACGCTTTGTTCGGTTATATACACGTTCAAGAGTATCAAGTTGAGCTTTTTTAATTCTCTTTTTAGCAGACCAGTTGCTTTGCATCACATGAACCGGCACTTTCACCTCAGCCTCAGCCTTCGTGGTTACTGGTGTCATCTCCAAAGGACATGCTTCTTTCAGTTTGTTTACTGGCTCTACTACTGTTGAAACAGGTTTATCAGGCAAAGCAGCACTCATCATCAGAAGATCTGGAGGAGGATCACGAAGCAGTTCAAGGACAACAGCTCTATCAAGACATAAATCAGCTGCAAGACTTTTAATCTGCCAGCCAAGAATAGACCAGTATTAGAGACTTCGAAATGGGCCAGGCATGATGACTGACTGCTCCATTCCACTTTATTATTGTTTTCCATGGACACCTTACACTCACACCATCATGTTACTTTGCTTCGAGATCAAAATAATCATGCTTTCTTTTGAAAAGGGAAGGGGAAAGTCCACGGCATTAACTTTAAACATGATAAAAGTTATTTTTGCTATACCAGAAGTGGTTGGCAGAAATGGCAGAGGGTTCTATCAGATCAAGATCCAGATAGAAGTCAATGGGTTGAAAAATGGTGTACTAAGACATAAATTCATGGATTTTAACTTAACCCAACCAAAATTTGCTCAATTAGTGGTTAAGGCTGCAATTGCAAACATTCTGAAGTACAACTTACATTGGTCTTACGCCGACCATTTTTTAAAGCATAAGCCAGTCTCTTAAGCTGCCAATTTTTTAATTTCACTGGCATTTCTTCATCGTTATCATCATCTTCAAGATCCTCGACGTGATAATTAGCAGTATTATCGTCCTCATTATCTTCTTCTTTCTCGTCTTCATCAGATTCATCCTCTGTTTTGCCATCCCCAACCAAGTCCAGAGCCCCAAAAAGTTCATCATCCTTCAGTGCCTCTTCTAACTCACGTTCAAGCTTTGCAAGGTCCTCTTCACTTATTTCATCATCATCATCACCATTTTCTGAAGATAGATTATCATTTTTCAAGTCTTCTTCCAGCTGGCGAAAGAGGGCCTCAAAGGCATCATCATCTTCATCTTCTTGAGTACTTTTACTGCCGAAAGTTTGCTCCTGGAAACAAAAAGCAGAAGAAAAATTGTAAATTTTTCCAATCATCACTCCTACAAGTTGATTATGATTTGTACAGGTAAATTAATTTAGGGAATGGATAATACTTTTGAAAATGCTCACAAGGAATGGAAAAGCAATTGTCAGATGATGAAGCTAGTATCCTCACACGTATAGTGAGCAATTCAGAAAAGCAAAGCCTTCTAAAGAAATAAACTTGCCATGTTAATGCATTCATATGAGCATCACATTCACAAATGAAAGATGAACTAAGCTACTTGATACTCTAATCTAAGTAAGAGCTCGTTCAAATTGGTTTATCAACTAAATAAACCAAGCCCCTAATCTTGGTTCTTTAAGCTCAGCTCACTAAACAAGATACTTGAAACTACATACAAATAAAGCAAACCTCAACCAACTTGGCTCACATAATAACGAAGGCGAGCTTAAACAAAGATTTATGCTCATCAACCACATCAAATCAAACATGAACACAACGCCTTTGGAGAAGCTAGGCTCCTTGACATCCCTAATCAGCATTCCACAATCCCATATCAGTTTAAGCATCTAGCTAGCTGAAGTTGGGTTCCTTTAACTTCTACGCTTGTCTACAAATATTCAGGGTAAGATTGTTATCGTAAAGTCTCTATGCCACTAACAATTCTTCTTCTTCTTCTTCTTTTTGACACTGCCATTTTTAGTGCAAAAACTTTTCTTGGTAACGCAAATGCTGCTACGAATATGCCACTGGGCATTAAGAAAAGTATTCCTTCTTCAAAATTACCAGTATTCTTGAGCATCAGATATTTCGAGGACAGCACAATTGAAGGATATTTCATGCAGAGGCACATGTGGACACGCAGAGTCACAGCTACACTGATAATCAACATAATTGCTTCCAAGGCCAGTCACAATCCAATAAATTCAAACAAAACCCACGAATTTATCAACAAAATTCTGAGTCATAAGCATGGAAAAAGTGAAAAAAAAAACTAAAAATTAGACCTTTTTCTTTTGCTTCTTAGACTTGACAGGGGAGCTGGAGGCCTGATGGCCTCCTCGGCGGCGGGCGAAAGTGAGGATTGAGGAGGAAGAGAAGGATTGACGTGGCAGGATGCAACTGGTTCTAATGCTTTTTGTGTCGACAAACAAGGGTTTTTTGTTGAGACAGCAATGAGGTTTAAGAGCAACAAAAGAGGACATGTGAGGGAGCCATGCTGCAGTGGAAGCACCCATTTTCTTTTTTGCCAATCTTCTTTCTTCTTCTACAGTCTCAATAGTGTTTCTTTCTGCTACTACAAGTGTTTCTGGTGGTACTGTGGTAGTATATAAATGATCAAAAAGAGCCCCCTCACATTTCCAAAGAAATCCTTTTTGGCCCCTCATATATAGAATGGCACAAAACAGTCCCAAATAAATGTACCAGTACTATTAATTTGACTCCAGAACATTTTCAAACAAATTTCTACTTCCTAGAAAATAAAAAAAAATTCTCGCAAAAAATGCAAAAGTCATGCAAATTCTAGTCACCTGATCAAACTTTCAAGAATAAAAATAACATTTTTGTCAAAAAAATCCTCTCGCTACCTCTTCCCTTCTTCCTCAAGAAGTGGTGAAATTTTTTGAAAGAGAATGCGTTATTTGTTTGGATTGCATATTATTTATATTTTATTTATATATTTTGATTTATTTGCATTATTAAAATATTTTTTATTTTATATACATTACATTAAAAAAGTATTATAATATTTTTTAAAAATTATTCCAAATAATCTCTTATCCAGACACACCGTTCCTATATATATATATATATATATATATATATATATATATATATATATACACACATAATGTACCAAAAGAAAATAATAATGTTTCTTTAAAAAATGCTTTTCATAATGGATTTTTAGTCTTTCTCTCAAGTAGCAAATATTTGTCTACAGATGGCCGGCTTTCATTTCACCAACTGAACCACGCCTTCACTGAATACAATAAGAAAACGTGCTAGGCATAATAATTGGACTAATAAGTTTGTTGCCACTTGCCAACAATCCTCTCGCCCCAGCCCAGCGGAGCTCCTCCCTCGATCCCCTCCTCCCTCCTCTTCTCATCCCGTCAAATCCACAGCACCACCGCTCACCATTAGTATATATATAAAAGAAAAACTGTAGAGAAAGCAGGCTGGTTTGGGCTGTAATTCTGTAAAGGAGAAGAAAACCCGTAACAAAAGTCAACAAATTCAACTGCAGAAAGAAGAAAAAAAAGAAAACAGTGGGAGGTGGAGTAAGTGCAATGGCGGGGCGATCGAGCTCAACGTCCACATCCACATCCACATCATTATCGTCAGTATCTTATTCTTCATCTTCAAAGAGAGGAAGATGGAGCCATCTCTCAACCCACGCTGCTCGGTTTTATTTCCTCCTCATTTTTCTGCAAATCCCTCTTTTCAGGTAATATACATGAAAAGAAAAACAAGTACTGGACGCGTTTCATTTTCCTGCAATCACTCTTCCGGCACCCTTTCCCGCGCAAAAGAATCGTGAGCGGTGGCCCATCTTCAAAAAATGGATAATAATTGAAATTCAGTAGTTTTAGGTTTCTTTTTGGCATCTGGGTTGGAGTTTTCTTTGGCTGGAGATGCATATTTGGTTGGATTTTTTAAGTTTTGACTTGCTCATGCTTTTTGGGAAGTGTTTCTAGTTGGTTAAGTCATTTTCCTTTGGTGCAATTATATCACAGATTTTTTTGGCCGTCTGGTCTTATGATCTGTATTTGAAAATGGAACTTTATTTGATTGTATGCTAATTGTTGTCCGCTCCATGACTGTTAAATTTACCAGCATTGACGTTAAAAAAAAAAGAGTTGGGCAGCTGAAAATTTTAGGTTCTTTACCTCTCTACAATTGTTGGCTGTTTCTTTGATCTTGGTTGGTGGTTTTTGATCGCTGAGGCTTGGATATTTTTTCACATTACTCTTAAACGGTGAAATATTTTTATCATTTTCTGTTCCCCCTTTTTAAATGTTTGATGTGTATATTACCATGAAGAAAGAGAGAGAGTTGAAAGTTGTTCACTAATGAAAGCAAATAGGAGGTGGTGGCTCTGCTGTAGTTCATTGTACATGATAGAGGAAATAGACACTGGCCTCTAGATCGGTTGTTTCCGACTGAATTTGCTGTGAGAATATTGCCTACCTGGCTCCTTTCAATTTTTCTCATTTTACGTGTTATTTCTTTCAGCATTTCTTTTCATTTCCAACTGTTTATTGCTTATTTCATTTATTATTTTGAAAAGTGAAAGCTACCAAGTTTTCCTAGCAAGTATTAAAGGAATAACCAGTATTTAGGGATTATTTTGGGGCAAAATGCGAAACTCTAAATGCAGCCAAGTTGTTGCCTGTGCAAATTAAGCATTTGATTTTTCTCCCTTTCCCTCTGCTGTTTTTTGGTCAGGGTTCCATGTAGATCTGGGCTGTGTACAACACCACTACAGGTCACGTCTTGCCAGTTGATATCTAGTGAAATCTTTCCCCTTCCTGTAGTGAAGGCCCTACTCTACCCTGGTGCTGTTTTGGATGGTTTGATCAGTAACCAGACTGTTCCAAGCTGGGACAATATTCTGAATATTTATAACTTGACTGGAGTGAAGGAGGCTTCTGCTGTAACTGACTTGCAACGATTGGAGGTTCGGCTCACTAACTTCTTCTATCTGTATTAGTTATGGTGTCTAAATAATGTTTAGCAGGTCATATCAATCTGTTTTGTAAAATTGTGGTGTTGATGTTCAGTCCTTTTTGCCTGAGTTTCTTTATTGTGTTAGAGTCCTTTGCCGAAGATCTTAGTAGGTATTTACAGGTGTAATGATGAATAAAAAATGAAGCTTTCTTAAATTCCAATTGCAACCTATGTTAACTAGTTTCTGCAAATTTCTGTTTCTCTGATTCTCGGGGGTTGTTTTTGGCCATAAGGTCATTGTTGATTTGCTGACAGTGTTGAAAGTTCAGAGAGCTGAATTTTGGTGGTGTGTTGTTCAACTGTTACAGTTTTAACTTAATATGAAAACTATTGCCGTTTTCACATGTTCTACTTTCATCTTGATCAACTTGCCAATAAACAGAGCAGGAAAGAAAACATAACTTCTTTTCACCAGAATGTTCTGAATAGTTTGTTTGAAACAGTTTCACTCTTTTATGAGCAGAGATACTTTTGGAATAACTGAACAGTTTGATACTTTGTAGTAAGACCGAATGGATTGATTTAAATCAATCATCGAAATTTTGACCAATGTCTAATGTGCTGGTAGTAATTAGTTTTTACCATAATCTGATCTTTTAATGAATAGTCTGCAACTGGCCAAGCAAATGAAAGAAAAAATTGAGCTGTCCTAAATCCCTTAGAAGCACTTGGAATTCAGGTTTAGCGGCCTGAACAGCTTTTGGAGACTTGATTTTCCTTGTTGGAGAAAATTCCTGCACAGCGTGTGAGTAGATGTTTTTGCACTGATTCATATATAGTGCAAATTATTCTGAGTTGAGCCATCAGAAAATTTCATCTAATGAGCGTTTGCCCTCCTGTTGTCAATCTTATATATTTAATTTGCACCAGGTTCTTGCTGGAAGCTACTTCTCTGTGGCCGGAGGACTTATTGGCATTATTAGACCTGGGAGAATGAGCATGTTCGGAACCCTTCTTGTTATCTGGGGCCTAGTCAAAGAAGGGATTCTCAAGAAGCCAGTGAACACCGACCCTACAAGTGCAAATCAAGTATTTGTCTACCCAACAATGTTGATAGCCCTGATTTGTGCCTTCCTGTCTGTTAAGTATGATGTAAAGAAGGTTATGCGAAGCACTCCAAGTCGACCAGTTGCAAAGCCTCTGCAGAGCTCCGTCAAGTCAAAGTTGAAGTGAGTTACGTTATGGTACTGCTGACGAAAAATGAATTTCACCATTTCCTTTTCCTTAACTAGTTCTCAGACAAATTCTGCTACCACTGGGGTTGATTACCTTTTGGAGCAAACTCATCGAAGCTGCAAATTCTTTACTTCACGAAAGCAAAGTTTCTTGGTGAATGAACTGAGCTGTTTCTTTTTTTTTGCATTTGGAGAATTGAGCATGAATGTTTTGAAGCTTCATATTTTATAAACGTCATCTCCAAACGGCTTGCGCATTCGATTTTATTTTTCTGCCTGTTCTTGGTACAGAAAGTAACTAGTGCTACGTAGCAAATGGTTTCGCTGTGATTTGCCTTTCTGGATGCAAGAAAGATGGGATTTGGTGGTGGCACCAACTGGGGTTTCCCCATTGCTGGAGGTAGCCATGGAGATGCTAACTCAAGAAATGACAAAGAAAACAAACACGAAACAGCAGAAAAGCCTGCGTAGCTAGTTTAATCTTGTAACTAAAACAACTCTTAAATCCTTTTAGGATAAAAAATGGAGAAGAACAATCGCAATTGTGATGTCAATTTAGAATGCCAACATAGGAATCACATTGGATATTCGCTATTTATAATGTGCAGCAATTAGCATTCCCTTAGATTTCCATATGCAAGACAAGTAGCATTGCTATTCTGGTTTATGTCAAAAACAATCCACTCATCAAACATATCCTTTGGCCAAAACTTGCACGAAGAAACCAGGCCGAATTTCCACAAATTGATGTTTACTTTTACACTGGAATCTACATAAACTAGTTTTGAATGTTGACTTTGACATAAACAAGTTTGTACTCGCAGATAGAGGCCAAAGTGATAAGAGTCAAAAGATTTAAGTATAGTTTCAAGGCAAAGTGGCATGTTTGGATTGGAACTTACTTTATTATTATTATTGGCATTATTTACTGTACCATTTTTCTGGTACGAAATATGTGAGAAAAAAAGTTGATGAAACATAAAAATGAGGTTGAAATACGTGTTTACGGAATTATAGAGAAAATTTCCCAAACAATATGCCTTCAGATTGCTGGGAAATTTCCTGACTCAATGGTGAATATTTTGCCACATAATCCTCTTCAAGAAACTCTTATTGAATTGCAGGTTACATTTAAAGCATCCGAGGCTATCCCGTATCACCAGTTTGAATTGTCCCAACAGAATATGGATATTATGATTGTTCTCATTCCCAGAATCAGCTCCTGCAGCAATAAAAAGCTCCTTTCCCAATTCTTAAATCATCTTTTTGACAACACCTGTGAGGCTACATCATTAACTGCATCTCCTAATCAAGTCCATTGGGAAGGTAATTAATGCCGTGAAGTAAGAATGTATTCCCTTTGTACGTAACTGTCCTGCTCTCAGCTCCAATACACCATAAATGGCCTTGCAGCTTCAAATCTCCTTTCATCCCTGCCGTCTCCCACACAAACTTAAACAGCCCAAGAGCCCTGTCAAGCTGCTTCACGCCACCCCAAACCATATTTTCCTCATTGGAAGTCAAAATTTTCCCCATAAACAAGCAAAACTGGTTTTGGCCTTCAATAGGGTAACACCCTCCTCTAACTTCTACTTCAATATCTAGCACGCTTCCGTACAGATAATACAATAGAAGTGTAAATAGGCATCGAGATGGATGACCCAATGTCTTGGTTAGTTTCTTCTGCACTAGGCTTTCTTGATGCCGACTTTCTTTGTACCCAATACTCTTATCTATCAAAATATCCCTGATTTGATAAAGACCTTCCTTCATCGACTCAAGCTTTTTCACATGTAAAACAAATTCCTCCTGATCATTCAAGCAATTAACAAGATCAATGACCATCTCCAGGACATCTTCCCATTTGTGGTGATCGCTCGACTTTGCAACTTTTGTGGGAGCAATACGCATCCATGAAGTGGACTCAGGATCGTAAGAGATGGCAGCGGTTAAAAGCTTCAGGCAACTGGCAACTATTTGCTGCGCCATTTTGATTTCCTTTCTTGGGCACTCCTGAATTCGATAATCAATCTCAGATCTCAACTCATTCAGTGTCCCCTCCAATGCACCTGCCCATATCTGATGTTGAGTCACTTGTGGGCATACTGTAAGCCTCACCAACTTCCTTTGCTGAGCTGAAACATTCAAAATGTCTGAAATTTTGGTTAGGGAATTCAGAGTGAGTGGTCCTCTTTCACTTGATTTACCAAAGTACATAGGTAATGCACATTGTGAATCTCCAAATGTTTTCACCACATTCGTCCTCATTGTCTCCTGCATAGCTGGACAACCAATATAATCTCTTGCTAGCGACTTGAAAGCAAGCATCTTTTCTTCAAGTTTCCTATCAAACACTCTTGCATCCTCATTAACTTTAACCAGCCTGCCATCAATCAAGTCCACATGTTTTAATGACTGGGCTAATTTCTTTAGCCTCAGAAAGGTATTCTCATACCATTCAGCAGGAAAAAGCTCTTGCTCATGGGATTCTTCTGAGCAGCCATGGGACAAGAATCTCAGGTGCGTTATTCTGTTTTGCTTGGTTCTCAAAAACTTTGATGACTTGTATAGAAGGTTTTCTGCTTGCTTATAGGCCATCATAAAACCCGTGCAAAACTAATTCCCAAGTTCAAGATTCTTGTGGGCATTTTATCAAACAAGTGATGTGCACTTCCTGGACCAACGACAACAGCAGTGACATGGGACAAAGAAGCAATTGAATGGGGGCAGTAGTTAGCAAGTGTTTTCTACAATCAAGAAACGGATATTTGAAAGATTCATCAAACAGAACAAAACGTTGGATTGTGTATTTGGTATTTTTCGAACAAACAAGAGAGGGTTAGGCAGCAGGGTGAATGAAAATTCATCTTTATTTCTGATTGTTTTTTACAACATTTGAACAACAAAAAGATGAAGGTCAATGCGTTATTTGGCATAATTACGCCTTCAGGAGCTATGCTCCGTCGTTTTGTTCAGGATTTTCCCGTCCTTATATCCTGATATATGAATGCTTGTAATAATTGTCCGAAATTACGTATGAATTTTTCTAACCAGTGCTCATCAGATACTCCTTAAACACACACACACATGTATATACACACACAAATTTACACTAATCAATTTTATATTTCAAAAAATATGACACTTGAAATATATTTTAACAAATATTAGACAAGCCCAATAAATAGAACATGCATCGCATGATAAATTTTTTCTCATACCTCACTTCCAATGAAGGGTCATTTTTCTTAAACTTACAACATTCACAAGGTAAGTTGTTAATTCGAAAGTGTTGACCACTTTCCTATCACCAATACTGCATTCGAATCCTGCCGTAAATATAAGAACTGTATTCGAATCTTCCTATCACCAATACTATATTCGAATCTCGCAGTAAATGTAAGAACTGTATTCGAATACCGCCCGCCGTAAATGTAAAAACTGTATTCGAATCCCGCTGTGAATGTAAGAACTGTATTTGAATCCTGCTGTGAATGTAAGAATTGTGTCGATACAACCTTGAGGTGGAACCATTCTAAACTACAACATTTGGTGGATTTTTTAGACCCTATTCCTATAACCACGATTTGTTTGTTATGCCAGATTTGTTCCGTGGAGTAATGAATCAATTTGCGCTACAAGACAAAGAATTCGGAATAACCTGCTCTAGTTTCTTTTTGCAGTTCTCTTCAGACAAAAGAACACAAAATACTGCCAGACTGCCAATGATATAGCACAACTTTGGAAACATTCGTCCCATAAGCAAAAGAATGGGAACCTTAATAAGGATAACTTGGCGCAATTTTGTGAATTTGAACTATCATGTGAATGAATACTATCAGTTACAGGAATCGAACAAGGAACCAAAAATACAGGGTACGAGTTACAAAAAGTGGAGGGGGAAGACTAACACAAGATCCTGTGGCAACTACAAAAATTTACTTCTAAAGTTGGCCAACTAAAGCTTAATGATACACATTCCTCCCTTTTCTCCTTCCATTTACCATTTTTTTTCTTAGATTTTTTTTCCCCTTTTCTATTGGGCACAGCTGATCTACTTTTTCCATTTCTTCCCATTTACAAATGCAGTAAAAATTTTTCATTTGTACTTTTTTTTTCCTTTTTGATTGATTGATACCATGGGTTATGCTACGTGTCAAAAAACTTTCCTATACCTTCCTGACTTAGTATATCACAACCCTAAGGAGCCCAGGCTGCGGCTCAGAGTAATCAAGGCCTTCCTCCTCCAACAGGTACCGCTGAACAGCAATTGGAAGTCTAGCAGGCGTACGTGAACCCCTGGTGTGGTGGCCGGTTCCCACGCATATGTATACCTGCAGTCGTTGCTCAGCTGATCGGGCTGCGTTTCTCAAGATAGACAGCTCACGTTTAAGGATATGAAGAGCTTCAGTCACATGAAGCCCGTGCAGGTCTATTATCCTCTCTTGTCCCCTCCCGTCCGGATTACCTGGATTTCTGTACATTAAAGCAGACCGAATCAGAGATCAGATCCTCGTCATTGCCAGCTGTATCAGAATATATGAATAGAGAACTCAAACTAGCAGCAAAAAGCACCATCATCTTCATGGCCAGTCAGAAACCTATACACCTCCAGCGCTACCTTATAACAGAATCATAACCAGAAAATGGAACACATTCAAAGTGTGTGTGGAAAAAGATGGGTAAAACAGCACCTCGCTTACAGCTGTTTAATTAATGATGCATTCATGCATCCCTTTTTCCTACATACATGGTAGTGTCATCCCACTAAACCAGCAACTAACGCTGCCTCGTACATGGTAATAATGAAAAGCTTGTCCACTCAACAGATGGATAAATCCTTGGCCAAGATGGTGCTTAAGGTTTTTGGTATCATGGGTTCCCATTTTTATCCCCTCTTTTACATTCCGCAAACTTAAAATTATAGAAAACTTCAAGATGCAAGAAACATGACAAAATGGGTGCTATTGGGCTCTTCATGGTTTGCTAGCCATCACTAGGGGAAACCGTGTTAATTCAATTCCATTCAGACAGTTTAATTCAGCCACTAATCCTGCCTGGCCTGGTGTAGGTCGAGGCTAGCAAAAATTACAAAACATGATAAACAGACGCTAAGCATCTGCTCAAATTTGAGATCAGCATACATTAAGCAGCAGAGTCAGATAACAAACCTCTGACGGTAGATAGAATCTTGAGCTTTTCCATGAGCTGCCTTCATCTGCATGTTGTGGAGCTGCCCCTTTAAACTCAATTCTTTAGCTAATGCCTTGTTACCAACGAGGTATGCCTGTCTAGCCTACTCGTGCATACAGAAATTATAAAGGAAATCAATTAGCTCCAAAGAATACTGCAATTTGGTAAACAAAACTCGTACTTTCAAATAGAATTAACTGAACTGTTAGCCAGCAGTGACGATACTGGACATATTCCAAAAGATACCATTGACCATGTCAACCCTCATTCTATCATTTAGTCATCAAAAGGTGAGGCTTGCAAGCAATGATCGAATGAAGCTTCAACACTATAGACCATCATGCATGTATAGTTCACATTGATTTCAGCATGTTACGCTTCAAATATGTAGAACAGTTATCACTATTCACCTTTCAGCCATTGTAGCATCACCAACAGTAAGATTAGGTAATAAATCAACCTATACCTAACAACTATGTACAGCATAGAAACCTTTTGATTCCTTCTCTCAAAATGGGTTTCTTGCATTTCTTGTTCGCCCCTTGCAATGTAGAATGAAAACATAACCTTTACATAAAGAGACACTACCAACTGCTGTCAGTTTACAAGAGTACAACAAGAGCACAATATCAACCTCCTAGAAAATGTAAAGACCAACGAGTCAGGTTTCACGGCGAAAGGCAAACTCATGGTAAATATTTAGTTTGTCCCCCTTGCGGAAAGACAGAAACTTAATTGGAAAAGTTAATACATGCCAGCACCTAGTAGATCACTCAACTAGAAGGTGACAAAACATCCTTCTGACCAGGTGTATTGAGAAACCAAGCAGACAAAAGTCTTCAAATTCAAAACAGTAAACCAATGTTTATATAGTTACATAATTCATCTTAAAAGTAAAGAAGCAGTCCTTGAACACTGCCAATTTTGAAAGAAATTGGGTTGTTCCTCCAGTCAAGGGCTGGGAAAAAGTTGATGGAGAAGAGAGGCCATACAGTAGATGCAATTACAGTTTCCCATTGGAAGCGATAAATTCTTGAGGGAGAGGGTCTAGAAGAGTCTTGTACTTGAATCTGAGCTTGCAATGTTGTTTGTGTTTGTTTATAAGAATGTCAGCAAACAAATACATAAGATGAGTGTCACACTGTTAGTTCAGAGTATATCTGTTTAGATTGTCCTTCATCTTCGTTTCAGTAATTCTTACCTGTTCAAAGTATGCATTGCGGACACGTGCATGGTCACGAGCTTCCTCCCGCATTTCAGAATACATATTTGCTGCCATCTCAACAAAGTTAAAGCCTTATACAGGTGAAAAAGCTTTTCTCAGACAGCTAAAAAGTAAATTAAAATTGTTCCACAAAATTATTACCAACTGCTTCTCCAGTTTCAAGCCAGATAGGAGCTGCACGAGCTGATCCCCGACTCTGTAACCTATCATTGTAAATCCCCCTTACCTGGCCAGTGTTGTATGAGCTTGCTAAGACATGTGAACCTCTACTTGATCCAGCATTTACATCTGCAGAACCATTTCTGTCATACTTCCATATGCCAGAATCTTGAGGCGTCATTTTCCTAACTGCTGCGGCAAAATCTATAGCTCCTCTAGAGGGAAAGGAAGACCCAGACTTGAACAAAAGTACATTGTCTTTCTCAGAAGATCTATAAGGGCTGATGTTCTGTTGGAGATCATCACCAGCAAACTTTGTCATGCCATTTTGACCTTCTATTGTTGAAAGAGCAGGGAAATCCATTGCACTAAGATTTGGAGTTGACAAGGCTTTTGAATTTATACTTTGATTCAAACCACCATCCACTTGAAGCTACAAATAAGATAAATGGTACTGTAAAAACCTCACCATAAAATAATATCAGGAGATGTCATTTGTAACATAAATATATATGAAAGATGCCAGATATAAGAAAGCTAGTTCATTTGTGTATATATTACTGAGCCTAGTGAAATGTGTCTTCCAATCACATGTAGGCGGCATTCACTTTTCCAACCCAAAAAATGAGTGATCCCGTATCATCAATCTTGAAGTAATAACACACTAACAAAAATATGAACCAGAATACCAGTTAGTAAGTAGACCTCTTATATATCATCAGAATTATGACTTGTCCTTAAATAAGATCGCATCCACATCTCATGCTCTACAAAAGCTGTCATTCAACTATCAAACAAAAGCAGCACCTAGAATTCTAGATCAAAACTTCAATGATGATCGATCAGACATTATCTCCAATTCATGAGATTTTAATTTTATTCTACATAACAAATCAAAAGCCAAAAAGAAGCATATCAGTGCAACCAGACATGCCACAGATACATATCCACAACAAATATTCTCACAAAGTGAGTAAAAATCTGTCAGAAAAAAGCATGAGAGAAAAGAGAAGATTGAGATGCCAAGCAATGATAAACAGGGAATAAGCAACACATGCAACCGGGAACTGAAACAGGGCTGCCAATTTGAAACATCTTCAAGGTTGCCGAAAATCAGATAGGGGCTCTGAAAAAATGTGCATTTGAAGTCTAGACATTAACTACTGAGGAGAATTAAACTGGTGATTAGAAGCACAGGAAACAATTCAGCCCCAAAATTACCTCTTTTTTAATTTTAACAGTAGCATAATTGCTAAAATAAAACAAAGAAGAAGAAGAATGTCTACTTATCAAATTAGTAGTTAAAGGAGAATAAATAAACAAATAATGACACAGGGGAGAGCTCAGAAATTGTTCTTAGTTAAGAAGCAAAAGTATACTTCAAGCTGAGTGAGCATTTCAATTGTCAGGTTCAAGTCACCCCCATTGGCAAAGTAAACCTCTGCAACACTTTCAGCAGCAAAACCAGGGAATTGTGAAGCCAAAAAGTCAAGAGGATCTGCATTGTCCACATACTGCTGCTCATTCATCAAGTCAGACAGCAAACTGTGCCTTGAATTCGCATTGTACGGAGCTCCCTCCCTAACACTCGAAAGAAGTCGGTCATTGTTAAAAATATGTTTGTCCCAAGGTTTAGTTGACATGCTATTGAAACTGCCTGAGGACAGATTTTCGCCATAGGATGAAACAGGAAATCTCATCTTCTCATTAAAGCTATTTCCATTGACACAATGAGGAGATAATTCATTCTGATCTTTCAGCATAAACCCACTGCCTATTGAAGCAGGAAACCTAGATGCTTCATTGACTTCAGTTAGTGACAAACTTGATAATGATAGGCTATTGAATCCTTGAGGATCATCCTCCCCCATAACCTTAAAGTCAGGAGTGATGTCATCAGGTAGCTGATGACGCCAATACTGGTGGGCCTCTTCATCTGAGTTATTCGAGACAGAAGACTCAGACCTATCAAGTACAGATTTTCCTAATGTTGCAGTGGCAGAGGCAGCGAACTTTGAAGATGCTTCTGCAGTACTAGTGCTTCCAGTCACTGATCTAAGAGAAGAAGGAACAAATTCTGCAGCATTTGGATTCAAAGTTGTTATCTTCGTGGAGGATAGTTTTTTGTCACTAATAAGAGCCCCTTTTCCCGAAAAGTTCATTCTTCAAGTTTCCAGATCTTTTCCAAATTAAAAAAAGAAAAAAAGGGTCTCTACATGCATGAAAAGAAATTTGAAAGGAGAAAGCTTCAAATATCGTCACCAATCAGCCAAAACCTGCAAAACAAACTTTGTAGCATCAGAAAAGTTAGAATGATAAGTCAACATGCCAGTTACTCGAGAATTCATCACTATGACTTTTCTGAAAACTGAAAATCAAGATTCTTCAAGTAAAAAATTGCTAATCAGAAAGTTATCAAATTCACAAGATTGAAACCCCGATGTAAGCACAACAGTAGCACAGAATTATGCATCGCGCCCATAAAGATATGGGCAGAAGGCTTTCGTAACAATAGCGAACAAATAGCTAACAATCTAAAATGTACAATCACTAGAAAGTTGCCGTACTTCTAAACATAAAAGTCACAATTGGAAACACAAGTCGTTATTATTCATCAGTGATAGAAACAACTAAGTAGTACATTTCTGCATGTCAATTGTACATAAAAGGAAAACAAATCCAAAGCCCAAACAATATCCACCTCAATTCCACATTATGTTGAGCCAATCAGTTCTAAAACCCAAAAACAGACTCCTTAACTTCCTTGATTTAAGACAAACCCATTATTAACAAACGCAAACAGAGTCTCGGATGAACAAAACAATGAAGTTTATCATCAAAACCGACATCCGGAAAAAAAAAAAAGGAAAGAAGAAAGAAAAAATTAGCAAACAGTAGCTCGATGTCAATTACTTGTAAGTAATAAGTTGAACCTTTTATCACTAGAAACTTCAAAAGAAATAAATAAATAAATAAATAAACCAATGGGTCTAAAAGTTGACTCTTGAACTTTCTCAAGAAACCCACCTGCACAGATCTCTACAAATCTAAACCCAGCTCAAAAACAAAATTAGAAAAAATGCACAAAAACAAAAAACATAAGATCTGAAAAGGATATACCTTCGCGGAGGACTGAGATTGAAGAGACCAAATCAAAGGGATCCATAGGCAGCAGATATAACAAGATAATGAATTTTCTTCTCAAAAATCAAACGAGATATTATATATACGCCAAGAAAGAGAGGGAGTGCATAAAATTTTGTGTTTTTACGCGCAAAAAGAGACAATTTTTATTTATATTTTCCACAGTTGTCTTCTTCGTTCTTCGCTCTTCGATGTCTGAGCTTCAAAGGGCTGAGGGGGTTGTGCTAAGGGTGGCCTGTGGTTTTCTTTTTTATTCCTATTTTCCCCGTTTGTCTATCTATCTGTTCTTCTATTCCACACTACTACCTCAGCTTCAGCCTTTTCTCTTTGTCTGACAATTTGCCATTTTTTTTCCTTCTTTAATTCTTTCTTTTGGGTTCTGTGGCTTTTACTTTTGGAACCCACTTTTGAGAATTTAGACCACAGAATTTAAGGCTTCAAACCCTTTAGGCCTTTACCCTTACCACAAAAATATGTAAGAGTCCAACTAGAGTCTTACATATTTCCCTTTTCTTTATTTCTCTTATACATTTTTCTTTATTGCTGATGGATTTTCTTTTTATTTTCTACAGAGGAAGAGATTCTAATACCCTCTATTTGATTAACTGCAAGGATTTATAAATATCTTTTCATGTTAATTTTTTGTATTTTTAATTACCATCTTTACCCTCACAATCAAGAACAAAAAGACACCATTTTATAAAAAAAAATCTCTTCGATTCATATTTACTAATCATTTTCATGTTTTAGAATTTTCAAAGCCATAATTAACAGTGACTTTTTCAACAAAGTGTCCAATCAACACATATAAATTCCACTCAACTCACCATATATATACATATATTAATAATTATTATCCTTCCTTATATTTATACACTTTTCATAATTAATCACCTTTTCAAAAATTTGACACCTGAAGTACATCTTGACAGATGCTCGGCACTTGTTAGACAGACTCATTAACAGTATTTTAATTTGCACACACATAAATCTGTTTTTCCCACTAATAATTTGCTTCTAGGAATTTTTATGGTGAAGGTTGGTAGTATAAATTCAAGCCACTTTTTTTAAATCTAAATAAAAACCATAATATGGAGAAAAACAAATGAACACCAAATCAATGGAGGAAGGTTGGGTTGGATGGTAAAATGAAGGGATTATAAGTAGGAGGCTTTGGATTTAAGACATCTAGCTTATGAAAAAAAAAATTTTAAAAACACCAAATCAATGAACTCCCTTTTTGGGCATTCGGATCATATAATAGTTTGTTATTGAATGTCTTTTATAGTCACTGTCCAAATTTAGAGTTTCTATTGCCATACACAAGCCCATTACAAATCTCCTATGGTTTAAAAACATATACATAACCTTCTCATAATTTGAGTAAAGTGTCAACATTAATTTTTCCGTTGAAACTAAGGTTCAATAGTAAAAAGTTTCATTACTTTTTTTTCCTTCCAAACATAAAAAGAAGAAATTGAAACTAAGAAAAAGATAAATAAGAATTAGAAAATACCATTAAAAATTAGTTTAAAACCCTATAATGATATTTGTAGTCAAAAAAGATTTATGATTTTTTGTTTCTTATTTATTTGTTTTATATTTCCCTTCCATCTTTTTGTTTCTTATTTATTAATTTTTTATTTCCTTCCATCTCTTTTATATTTGGAGAAAATTAAGATTTTGTAAGACAACATATAGGTTTTCAAAATCATCTCTTCTTTTTCAAAAAAAATGAGGGAAAGAAAAGAAAAAAGGAAAAAGAGCAAAAAAATAGTGAAAGGGTGAACTTGTGAATTTATTAGTTTGCTTTGAACTTTTTACTATTGACTGTTGGCTTTAATGGCAAAATTAACAGTGACACTTTAACCCCAACTATGAGAGAGTTATATGTAAATTTTTAAACCACAGCAGAGTTATGTAATAAAATACTAAATCATGAGAGGGTAAAAAGTAATTTATTCTTTTAAATTTGTGTGTCATTAGAAATTAGAATGAGCATTTATTGGAATTGTACTTGTTCAAAGTAGTACCTACTACTAAGTGAAGAAATCATCTTAAGCTATTAGTTTCAATCATTGGGTATTTCAAAATAATACTCTCTCCGTCCCACTTTGATAATCTTGTTTTCCTTTTTCGTTTGTCCCAAATTGTAGTCCACTCTCCCATTAAGAAATGTAGTAATCTTTCAAATTGTCTAAAATACCCTTATTAAATATCTTGTTATTAATACATTGTTATTAAATACTAACCCACTACATTGAATACATTGAGTTTTTCCAATATTAACCCATTAGCTGTAACTGATATTAATTGGCACTCTTCGTGATTAGCATAAGGGTATTTTAGGAAATCATTAATCTAAATTTATGTTTCCAACCAAATTAATTACACTTTCTTAATCTGTGTAAAAAAAAAAACCAAAACTAACAAAACGGGACGGAGGGAGTATATACTTAGTATCTACAGGTCTATAGCTTAGGATGTGGTTCCTCTCCAATGAATTCTCTCTCCATTTTTCCATAAGGGATAATTTCACAAACCTCCCCTGAGGTTTCTAACAATTACAGAGAGCTTCTCTCAAGTTTTAAAAATTACATATACCCCCCTACTTTTATTATTTAGTAACAATGTAGATCCAACAAGTTAAATTTACTTTCAAAACTCCTAAATTGCCCTTTATACAAAACTAAGAAAGAAAAATATAGTATATCCAATCATTTTCTTCCACACTTTGCATAAATCAATAAGTCCAATTCTTAATAACCATCCAAGTATAAATTCTAAACTCGAGTAACCGTCCAAAAGATCTCAAATTACATATGCATTATCAATACTTGCTATGATAAAAAAAACACACAGAAGACCCCATTGACATCTAATTTTATATCCCAAATTAAATATCAATGCTCAAATACCTTTTCAATAGAATATAATCTGACCTAGAACCACCATTACAATTCTCCTACAGTCTTAAAAGTATTAATATCCCAAAAGTAGAGAATAAATTCTACCCCCACAATAAAATCATAATAAAATATTTCTAATCCAATGAAAGAAATCCTTATGTAATTATTGACATTTTATAAAAGTTTTTCTTGATAACAAACAAAACATGATAAATTCCACATCTTTAGTCCTGCTTCCTATTTCAATCATCAATTTCATTATTTATTTCTCTATCACTGCGAATCTCTTCATTTTCTTCTAATTTGATACATAATCTAATTCCTTTGTAAATTTTATAATTTTAATTTGATAATATTCACAAAACTAAGAAGATAATAAAAAAAGGTTATATTAATTGAAAAATAGACAATAGACAGAAAAATATATTTTTTTAGATTTTTAAAATTTATTGCCTTAAAGTTAAAATTGTCTACTAAGTGGAGGGCATTATAGGTATTTTACTATGTCAAGAGAGGTAAGTGTACTTTCTTAAACCTGAGGGGAGCCGAGTGAAATTGTCAGAAACCTCAAGAGAGGTTTCTGAAATTGTCCCTTTCCATAATGTGTAGCCAAGAGTATTTCTTTTTTTGTATTTTTACATAAATATTCCTTCTTTAAAAAGAACATAAATATTCGTTCCTAAAAAAGGTTGTGATGTAACAGTGTAGTTAATTTAGAAAAGTGTCTAAATGGTATTAATATGTAAGTTAATTATAATTTAAATATGTTAACAAGTACCCAATAAAATCCATCTTTTTATGGTAATCAACATTTGTATAATGCTATTCATAATTTATTAGAAACCCAGGGTGTGTTTGATAAAATTAAAGTTTGAACTGAAATATCAAATTTGAAGTTTAGTTCCATTAAGTTACTAAACTGTTAAGTATTAAATCTAATACATTTGAACGTACATCACATTAAGATAAGTGAATAGCTTATAGCACTTTTTTTAAGTAAGTTTTGCCTAAAAAATTTAGTGCCAATTAATTTACTTAAATGTTCTATTTTTAGTTATCAAACATATCTGAACATATTAAGATCTGAATCCATTAAGTCATTGAATTGGGTTACCTTAGATGATTATCATCATAACGTACTTGATCATTAATATGCTAAGTACGGATGAAAATATCATATTGATTTGAACCCATTTAGTGCCAATTAATTTATTTAAATATTCTCTTTTTAGTTATCCATCGTATATGAATATATTAAGATTTGAATCTATTAAGTCGCTGAATTGGATTACCTTAGTTATGATCATCATCACAATGTACTTGATCATTAATATGCTAACTACGGACGAAAATATCATATTCAACTAAAGTCGAATTAAAGTTTTCGACCAGTGATCTTTGCTAGTAATAATTTGTTACTTATAATACAATTCATATGTATTCACTACAGCTTGAGATGTCATGATATAGGGAACCAAATTCAAACCATTTTTTGGCTGTTGCATTTCTCATATTGAACTAACCAAACTATCATATCGAACTAAAGTTTTCAAACGAGTGGAAGGATTTTATTTTGTTAACCAGATTAATCCCAAATTATAAGTAGAGGACCATAGGTAGCAAAATAGTACACTTGAATTCCCATGAAATGATACACAAATTAGTTTACCAAAATACCATACCATAAGTGTGTGTATCATTAACTTTGATAACCATCCATGCCTTCCACACCCATTTACCAAACCCATTGGGACCTTTTTATTCTATTTTTTTGGATTTGAAATTACACTTAGACTTTTGTTTAGCTTTCTAGGCATACCAAATTTAAGAAGTTTCTAGCAAATTTACAAGCAAAACTTCTAGAATTTCTTAATTGGTGAATAGTGTATAACTAAGTTTATATTCCGTGCCATATGGGAATTACAAATTTTCAAAATCAATTTAAAACTTTAGAATAAATTATTTAACTTATATTATACAAAATCATCTAAAATCCTTGTAAGGAGATATAGTTTTAAGGAGGTGCGGTATGTAAATACTAATGTTTAAAATGTGTAAGCATCTTTCGTACTAATCTAAAAAAATATTAATTTTCCTTAAAAGATGAGATATAATATAAAAGCATTTGTATCCTTGCTTAAAATGACAAGACAATTAGTAAAACTCTTTACCTGTATAATATGTTTGAGGGAAAAAGTATATTGCTTTTATCTATATAAAGTAGTTACGTATTGATGCTTTTCAATTTGTTAAATCACTTATTTAAAATTACAATATCCTATGTACTAAAACACTAGTGTGAATACTCGTGCTACGCACGGTGCTGACATTATTAAAAAAATAAAAATAAAATGGTGAATTAAAAAAACTTAAAAAATTGTACCAACACAATTAAAATATAATATCTGTCTAACAATAATTTGAAATATGATAGAATGTGTATATTATTCAAAAATTACCTTTTTCGGAAGATAAATCCTGAAAA